CTGAACCAAAACCTCTAGAAAACCAGTCTTTCATTTTTTTTGACAGTTGTACGTCTTCATTTGCTTTTTTTTTCTTAATACTTCGATTCTCTGCTCCACTTCATTTCTTTTTATTATTCATTATTCTTTTTAATATTATTATTTTTTAATAGTAAAAGTATCTGTATAGTTTAAAAATACATTATTTTAGTATAAATAATTTATAATAAGTACTAAGTACATACCTGTTTCTTGTACGAAAAAAAATAGAAAGTTACACACTTGCCTTAACGAGTGATCAGCAAATACTAAGTCAAATTATTAAAATAGTAATAATTACACAACATTTGTTCACTATTTATAAACTGATGTATCGTACGTATATCAACTGATATAATGTAGATATTAAGCATGTACGTCGATCGATTCGTCGATTAAACGGAAAATAAAGATAATATAATATAATATACTACTAATAACAAAATATATAACTAATAATAAATACTAATAATGGTATACTATTCTTATCGGCGATCAACGTCGTCGTAATTTCGAGGAAAAAATAAATATACAATCTAAAAATAAACTACCCGTCGACAAAGGCATTGAACGTATTAAAAATATAATATGTAATATGTTTACGGATTAGTGCGTAGTAATGAAAAATATTATATTGTCAATAATATTTTTTCTTAAGTCAATCATTTAATATTTTTGCGCCCCCCATCATCAAGCGCCCAAGGCAAGCGCCTCGCTCGCCTCACCCTAGTTACGGCTCTGTGCCGTTATTCCAACGTTCAATTTCCAAGTGAGAATCCTCATTTCCAGACATTTGGTATGGCACCATGACTAAATTGACTTATGGCCATTAATAGTTAATCCCAGGGATGTAAGATAATACATTTGATTTACTTCTAGGGAAGGAAAAGTTAAGCAGCATAGCTAGTTCTGACAAAATGTTTCTATTTATTTTAACGCCCTTTTTGATAAGTACTTCAGATAGAAGATTAACCATGATATTACAACTACAGTTTTTGTGTGGATAGGCATATCCACACAAATATTTTGTGTTTAATATTTTATTCGTTTTTAAATTTCCTATAATCAAATTTATGTAAAACACACACATGCAATTCTATAATATTTGAATCTCAAGCAAACATTACGCACGTACCTACTTAGTGTTAATACAGCAAGTGTTTTTACCGTGGTGTCGGTAAATATCTACAATAACAAAATGATTTCACAGCCAATTTTTACCGATGCAAAATGAAAAATACAGCATAAAATATACCCTTAGAATATAATTTTGCGATTTACAATCTAATACTTAGATTAAACCTAATTTAATTTAGTTAAATTATACTGAATACGAACACCAATTCCAACCAATTCTAGGTTCAACCTAGGAATCGACACGAGGGGAAAATCCATGTTTACAATTGTATTTAAAACAATTGAACAAAACATGATAAAACATATTTAAAAGTCTATTGATGTAATTGTTCTGACCGTACAAGTTATAGAAATAACAATAATGTTTTATATAGTCTTTTATTATTCTGTCAAATTAAGTCAGTTATTGCGTACATCTCTCTATCTTCTATTAACTCCCTCCATTATATTTGTATTTCTCTTATTCGGTGCTCAACACTTAAATTTCATATTTCATTGCCGTTATATATAACTTTTATTTTAGCTTCGATGCTAGGCAGAGAAGGTATTATTTGAAATGATGTAGGCATGTTGCCCTCTTCCACCATCCGTATTGTTTGGTCTTATTTTGGTATAATTTTGACTACATGGTTTTATTTCTACGTTTTTTTAACACAGTTCTTTTTGGATTGGCGAATTTAAAGAACTGATACTTTAAACATCCTAAATGTGTAACATCTGAATACATACATATCATTTATAACCCTGTATACTATGTATGGACCTTAAGTACGTGTGTTTAAACATAGGTAACGTTGGTGATCACAAAAAATGTTTTATTTTCAACATTTATTCTGAACGTTGAATTACGTTGACATTTATTCTAATCATATTTAGTACATTTCATCAAATAAAAACCACACTAAGGATGAATATGTGAAATACATAATATTAGAACTGCATTGTTATTACAGAAAAATTGGAATCCCATCTTTTTTATAATGTGTAATCATTGTTACAGATAATATAATAATTAAAGCCAAACAATTGTCATATTCTCCTCCAATATAACTTAATTCTTTACTGTACCGTTTTTGCATTTCATTTCAATTATGTCAAAAATGTCTATAAAAATTGTAATATTGACTAATGTACATTAGTTTATAACATAATAAAAAATAAAGTTTGGTAGAATACGCATAATTTTCTTGTTCAGTTTTTGTTAGACAGTAAGAAAAACCTCACTCTTTTTTTCCAACGTAGGTTGTAAGTAATACAATCATAATAATAGCTACTCTCAACTTTGTATGTTGGTAACATTGGTGATCACAAAAAAAATGGTTTATTTTGAATAGTTATGCTAAATGTTGAAATCATATTGTAGTACATTTCATTGAATAAAAACCATACTAAGGATGAACATGTGAAATAGATAATATTAGAACTGCATTTTTAATGCAGAAAAATTCCATCTTTTATATAATGTGTAATCGTTGTTACAGATAAAGCGACAATATTAAATTGTATATTTATTTTATTATAATTATTCTCAAACTCAGGTTAAAATCCTCAATTTGTGAGGCACCATGACAAAATTGTCTTATGGCCATTAGTAGTTAATACTACTTTGTAATTAATACATGGTATTAATATTTATAATAACAAAAATAAGACCAAACAATACGGATGGTGGAAGAGGGCAACATGCCTACATCATTTCAAATAATACCTTCTCTGCCTAGCATCGAAGCTAAAATAAAAGTTATATATAACGGCAATGAAATATGAAATTTAAGTGTTGAGCACCGAATAAGAGAATTACAAATATAATGGAGGGAGTTAATAGAAGATAGAGAGATGTACGCAATAACTGACTTAATTTGACAGAATAATAAAAGACTATATAAAACATTATTGTTATTTCTATAACTTGTACGGTCAGAACAATTACATCAATAGACTTTTAAATATGTTTTATCATGTTTTGTTCAATTGTTTTAAATACAATTGTAAACATGGATTTTCCCCTCGTGTCGATTCCTAGGTTGAACCTAGAATTGGTTGGAATTGGTGTTCGTATTCAGTATAATTTAACTAAATTAAATTAGGTTTAATCTAAGTATTAGATTGTAAATCGCAAAATTATATTCTAAGGGTATATTTTATGCTGTATTTTTCATTTTGCATCGGTAAAAATTGGCTGTGAAATCATTTTGTTATTGTAGATATTTACCGACACCACGGTGAAAACACTTGCTGTATTAACACTAAGTAGGTACGTGCGTAATGTTTGCTTGAGATTCAAATATTATAGAATTGCATGTGTGTGTTTTACATAAATTTGATTATAGGAAATTTAAAAACGAATAAAATATTAAACACAAAATATTTGTGTGGATATGCCTATCCACACAAAAACTGTAGTTGTAATATCATGGTTAATCTTCTATCTGAAGTACTTATCAAAAAGGGCGTTAAAATAAATAGAAACATGTTGTCAGAACTAGCTATGCTGCTTAACTTTTCCTTCCCTAGAAGTAAATCAAATGTATTATCTTACATCCCTGGGATTAACTATTAATGGCCATAAGTCAATTTAGTCATGGTGCCATACCAAATGTCTGGAAATGAGGATTCTCACTTGGAAATTGAACGTTGGAACAACGGCATATTCCAATGTCAATAGATTTTACATATATGCACTTTTCCACCTACATTTTTTTTGCAAACAGGTATATTTTTGTGTATAATACATTATTAGTTTTAAAATTTTGTATAGTCCATTTTTTTGTAAAAAAACACACATGAAACCATACAAAAATTGAAGCTGAAGCAAACATTACACACGCACTCGGTGCAAACCCAGCAAGTGTTTTTAGCAAGTTGGCGTTAAATATTTATAATAACAAAATGGTTTGCACAGCCACTTTTTTCCTATACGTGATGGAGAATTCATCATAAAATATAATAAATAATAATATAATTGAAACTCTAAAAACATAAAAAATAGTTATCCAAAACTGGTTATCGACCAGTCAACCTTTTTTAATACATTATTCTCTTTGGTTGTTAGATTTAAATCGAAGGTTCTAACTAACAATCCGTACTTTAAAACTCATACTGTGAAAACAAGAATATTTTAACAAACAATTGGTTGTTAGTGATATCACAGATGTATGCGACAAATCAAATACGCACACGGAATACATGTTTGCTAACAATTTTTATAAGCGTCATAGGCTTTTATTTTGTTAAAGCTGAACTAATGGCAATCGTGTAAAACGTTTCTCGTTTAGTATACTTTATTGTTACACTGGTTTAGGACTTCTATTCTTTCGCAAAGTGGTTTCTGAGGAAAATACAAAAATTCTATATTCATGAAAATGTCGTTTAAGTTCATTTTTATAGCAACCGTTATGGTTAGCTACTGTTTAAAAATGGCGTCTACCACCATAAGCATTGTTGAAGAGTATAAGGAAGTAGGCAATTTGGATCCATTAATTCGTGTTCAATGTAGCTACATAGATAGCGCTCAAACTTACATGGAGATGATCGACGAATTGATAGAATATAAAGATAAGTTGGAGACAGTTCCTCAAGGTAAAGATCTATCGTATACCAATCAAGCTGCTAAAATCAATGCGACCTTCCATAATGTCGTTGGGATGCAGAATACTGGTTTACAGAACGTAATGTGGATATTTTCAATGTATGCCGAGAGAGTATTGGCGTACATGGAATCTGTCATAAAGAAGGTCTCGGCCGAAGATCAAGAAACCATCTATTCTGTTCACCAAGCCGTAACTTATTTTCTCGATATTTACATGGACTCTGCCGTCTGCGCCGGTTATAAAAAGGGCAAAGAGGTAGATATGGATGTCTTGATATGTAGTACTGATGATTTGCAACATCTATTGACCACTCTCGAAGCTAGGACATCAGTTTTCATGCAGCGAATAGACATAAACGCCAACGAATACGGTATCAGCACCGACGGGCACGAACAGTTTAGTTTGAACAAGTTGAGCTTGAACGGACTGCTGGCGGACATGGAAGCGACTAAACAAATTTTAGAAATTTCCGGAGTAGAGCTAAATTGGGACCAAGTGTTGCTGCATTTAAAAAAAGATTACGATTTGGGAACGCAAGTCAACGGTAATAAATTGAGTCAACAGATAAAGTCATTGAAACAATTTCATGACGGGTTTGCTATGTTGGTAAAAGTAATCATGATTCGTCTGATGTTGAAGTTCTTAATGCATGACGAATACGAGTATAACTGGGGTGAGAATAAAATGGCACTTAATATAGTCGAGTTAGAGAACTATTTGATTCCACAAGATGATATATATGAAATAAAATCCATGGTTGAAAATAACACTAAAGATTTTCAGGACAAGATTCAAACTATTGCCAATATAAGCATATATCTTTCCACTTTAGATACGCCATATAACGATCCTAAATTGCGCAAATATTCTGATAACAAACAACAAAAGTTTACAGATTTTCAACAAGACGTAATACGTTTCGTCAAAACTTTCAAAGGAGCTTTATCTAACATAAACTACAGTATAATTAAACAATTTAGACGTCTTGCAGATTCAAAAGAATACTTAGCACTAGTATGGCGTGAAAAAAAAGTTGAAATAACTAATTTTATAGAACAAAATATGGCATGAAATAGTGATGGTGAATGATATAGAAGGCAGTGATTAAAATATAATAACTTAAGCTAATTAGGGCGCATAGGTTGGGTGTAAAATTATAATAATGATAAAAAAAAAACAATTGTCATATTCTCCTTCAATATCATTTAATTCTTTACTGTAGTGTTTTTGTTTTTGCTTTTCATTAAAACAATGTCTAAAATATGTATACAAATTGTAATATTGACTAATGTACATTAGTTTATAACATAATAAAGTATAAAATTTCATAAAATACGCATAATTTTCTTGTTCAGTTTTTGTTAGACAGTAAGAAAAACCTCACTCGTTTTTTTCAACATAAGTTGTAAGTAATACAATCATAATAATAGCTACTCTCAACTTTGTATGTTGGTAACATTGGTGATCACAAAAAAAATGGTTTATTTTGAATACATAAACAAATGCAAACCATACTAAGAACAAATGTGGAATGTGGATTAAGATAGATGCCATTGAAACAATGTTAATGCAGAAAAATTAGAATTTAATCTTTTAGATAGTTCGTACACATATAGCAACAATGGTAAATTGTATATTTGTTTACAAAATCAGGTAAAAATCCTCAGTTACAGAAATTCGGCAGAGCACCATGACCAAAATGTCTTATGGCCATCAGTAGTTAATCCCAAAGAGGTAAGATTATATATTTTATTGGCATCCGGAGGAGGTAAATTAAGCACAAAAGCTAGTTTTGACAACATGTTCCAGATTATTTTAACGCCCTTATTGACAAGTTTTTCAGACAATATAAATTTTTTTTTGTGCGAGTAGGCATATAACAATATAACTAATCCGTTTTAAAATTTGGCTTTATTCATTTTTTATGTTAAAAACACTTAACACATATAACACATGTATTCGGTGTAAATACAGCATGTGTTTTTACCGCGTTGTCGGTAAATATCAACGATAACAAAATTGTTTGCACAGCCAATTTTTACAAATGCATGATGAAAAATTCGCCATAAAATATATTGTTGGAAAATAATTTTACGACTTACAATCTAAAACTTATATTTAATTTAATGTAATTTAGTTAAATTGAATTGAATACGATCATCAATTCAAGCCAACTCTATGTTAACTTTTTGGTTCTATGCCTAACTAAGTATTATGGTTAACCTGGCAATCGACGCAACGGAAAAAAATCTATTTTTACAATATTATTAAAAAAATATGATATAAACATATCGAGATTGCGTTACAATAATGCTCACCTAACGTCAACAAATACAGTGTTGTTAGAATTTCATGGGCCCCTGACTTATTAGACGATTTTCTAAAGCTACTATGAATGGCCGATCCTTGTGAATCATTTTTGGTTTTTATCTTACAATGTATTTTTCCTCATTCGTCAAAACGATTTAGAGACGGGTGATTTTGAAATATCTTACAGCAATCTGTGTATTAATTTAGATATGCATGTTAATCTATTTTTATTTTTAGTAAAATAGAATTTGATTGAACGTTGAAGTTTATAACATCTTTGATTGATGTAGCCTTTTGAAATTTCTTTTAAAAAAATGAACCCTGTATTTTTTGATAATTATACTGTTGACGGTAAAAGCTAATCTTTTTCATTAAAATTAATAGTGATCCAATTTAATGATCAGTGGACTTTTTGGTTCTTCTTTACATAGAATAAGACCCCTCATTTTTTGAAAATTTATCACAAATTTATATATTCCTTCATTGTAGGTATTGTAATTATATTCTTACGATATATATTTTGCTGTATTTTTCATCATGCACCTGTAAAAATTGGCTGTGCAAACAATTTTGTTATTGTAGATATTTACCAACGACGCGGTAAAACACTTGTTGTATTTATACCGTAAAACGCTTGTTATGTTTGCATCAGTGTTTTTAACAAAAAAATGTACTATACAAAATTTTAAAACGAATGAAATATCAAACATAAAAAATGTAGGTTTAAAATGTTAAATCACCGTTAGAAAAATATCATTCTGAAAAACTTGGCAGAAAAGAACGAAAATCATACTGGAATATGTTGTCAGAACTAGCTATTCCGCTTAACGCAACCTCCTCCAAATGTCAATAACAATGTATTATCTTACATCTTTGGGATTAACTATAAGACGTATGGCAATGGAACAAATTTGCCAGTTTTTTTAATTTATCATTGCCGAATGTCTGGAACTGAGGATTCTCACCTAGATATTGTGTAAATGATACCATATGTCTGTAGAGTGTAAAAATGTTTTAATGTCGTAAAGACCATAAAACTTGTTTACTCACAATTTTTTGAATAATGACACGTTCCAATGTCAATAGATTTTATATGTATGCACTTTCCATGATAATGCCGGGCACAACTATTAGAATTGCTAGACTGAGTTTCACGATCATGTTCAAAAATGACATGAGTATAATTGGGAAAATTGTTATTTTCAAAAAACCAACTTCTTCTTTTTAAGTACAACGTAATCGAGGATCGTTGTTATCGTTTAACTCTAAAACCAAGTGTAAAATAAAAACTTTAAAGAGTTAGATAGGGCAACAAAAATAAAGTTGCTCATCTCTCGAATAAGGGATTAAATCTATGTTCTAGATTGTAAATCTGGTAAAAATTCGTCATGCGACCGATTTTTTACTATTGATATTTATCGACAACGCGGTAAAAAAACACTTGCTGTATTTACACCGATTACATTTTGTTAATTTTACTTTAGATTCAAAATTCTAATAATTGCTTAAGTGTTTGTAACAAAAAAAGTAACAAAAACAGATTTTAAAACGGATTAGTCATTTTAATATATGCCTACTCATATGAAAAAAAAAATTTACATTTTCTGAAAAACTGACTACCCTTTTATTTCATATTTGGTAATAAGAGTAGGATTTTTTGGTAAACCAAAAATGTTCATCAGTTACGAACAAATTTTCTAGACAACAAAAAATGTCGGTGTACAATTTTAATCATTGTTAGAAGAATATCTTTTTGAAAAACTTGTCAAAAAGGGCGTTAAAATTAAGTGGAACACGTTATCAAAACTAGCTATTCTGCTTAACTCCAGATGTCAATAAAATGTATTACCTTACATTATTGGGATTAAGTATAAATGGCAATAAGACAATTTTGTAATGGCGCCTCACCGTATGTCTGAAATTGAGGATTTTTACCTGAGTTTGAGAATAATTTTAATGAAATAAATATACAATTTAATATTGGAACTTTATCTGTAACAATGATTACACATTATATAAAAGATGGAATTCCAATTTTTCTGCATTAACAATGCAGTTCTAATAGTATGTATTTCACATATTCATCCTTAGTATGGTTTTTATTCGATGAAATGTACTATAATATGATTTCAACGTTTAGAATAAATATTCAAAATAAAACATTTTTGTGATCACCAACGTTACCAATACACAAAGGTGATAATAGCTCTTATTATTATTGTATTACTTACAACCTACGTTGGAAAAAAAGAGTGAGGTTCTTCTTACTGTCAAACAAAAAATAAACAAGAAAATTATGAGTATTTGACCAAACTTTATTTTTCGTTATGTTATAAACTAATGTACATTAGTCAATATTACAATTTTTATAGACATTTTTGACATAATTGAAATGAAAAGCAAAAACGGTACAGTAAACAATTAAATTATATTGGAGGAGAATATGACAATTGTTTTTTTAATCATTATTATAATATTACAGCAAACCTATGCACCCTAATTGGCTTTAATTATTATATTTTAATCAATATCATCTAATGACACATTTTGTGCTATAGAGTTAAGTATTTCCGCAGCACGTTCGGAATGTACTAAAATTTTGAATTCGTCTGTAGATGTAAGTTGTCTAAATGTTTTAATTATACTGAAGTTTATGTTAGATAAAGCGTTATTTTTGAAAGTGTTGACAAAACGTTTTACGGCTTGTAGAAACTCTGTACACGGTTGTTGGTTACTAGATGGGCGCAAATCGGTAAAGTTATACGGCGAACGTAAATCACATAGATGCATTTTTAAAGAGACAATAGTCTCCCACTTGTTTGAAACGTTAGTGTCATTTTCAACCATGCTTATTATGTAATTCATATCATCTTGTGGACTCAAATAGTTGTATAACTCAACAATATTAGGTCCCATTTCGCTCCAGTTATCCGGGTATTCTTTATATATTAAGGTCTTGTGCATCAGACGAATCATGATTTTTTTTACCATCTTAGCAAACTCGTCATTAAATTCTATCAATGACTTTATCTGTTGACTCAATTTATTACCGTTGGCTTGCGTTCCCAGATCATAATCTTTTTTTAAATGCAGCAACACCTGGTCCCAATTTAGATCTACTCCAGAAATCTCTAAAATTTGTTTAGTCGCTTCCATGTCTGCCAGCAGTCCGTTCAAGCTCAACACGTTCAAACTAAACTGTTCGTGCCCGTCGGTGCTGATACCGTGTTCGTTGGCGTTTATGTCTATTCGCTGCATGAAAACTGATGTCTTAGTTTCGAGAGTAGTCAGTAGAATTTCCAAATTATCAGTACTACTCCGCAAGACGTCTAAACCCATCCCTGCGTTCTTATTATAATCGGCGCAGACATCAGTGTCCATGTAATTATCGAGAAAATAAGTTACGGATTGGTGAACAGATACGATTTTTTTTTGATCTTCGGCCGGGACCTTTTTTATGACAGATTCCATGTACACCAGTACTCTCTCGGCATACATTGAAAATATCCACATTACGTTCTGTAAACCAGTATTCTGCATCCCAACGACATTATGGAAGGTCGCATTGATTTTAGCAGCTTGTTTGGTATACGATAGATCTTTACCTTGAGGAACTGCCGCCAACTTATCTGTATCTTCAAGTAATTCCACGATCATCTCCATGTACATTTGAGCACTATGTATGTAGCTACATTGAACACGAATTAATGGATCCAAATTGCCTTCTTCTTCCTCATATTCATCTACAATGCTTATAGTTGTAGACGCCATTTTTAAACTGTAGCTAACCATAACGGTTGCTATGAAAATGAACTTAAACGACATTTTCATGGATATAGAATTTTTGTATTTTCCTCAGAAACCACTTTGCGAAAGAACCGAAAACTTAAACCAGAGTAACGATAAAGTATACTAAACGAACGTTTTATACCATTGCCATTAGTTCTATGACGCTTATAAAAATTGTTAGCAAACATGTATTCCGTGTGCGTATATTATTTGCCGCCTGCATCTGTGATAACATTAACAACCAATTGTTTGTTAAAATATTCTTGTTTTCCCAGTATCAGTTTTAAAGATGGTTATTGGATTTTTCTTATGGAAAATGTTTTGCAAAAAGCATTGTAATGCCGTCTACTAAAACGTATTTGGCCAACTCCTATAGTACTGAATTAGAACCATAGATTAACATTTAGTTAAATTTGTATGTTTACATTGTATAATGTACTAAAAATGTCACAGAAAACCAAGTTGTGAGGTGGGGTAGAAACAAAAAAAAATTGTGAGAAATTGACATCACATTGTATAAAAACACTAGGTAAGAAAAAATGTATTTCTCATGAAACCCAGTAAGAAATTGAGCGATTCACGATAAGTTAATCGCCATGTGTACAAGACATTTCAATGTGTCAAGTAAAACCATTTTTTAAATTATTTCCGTAGGACTTTTTGCTTAATAAAAGGCAATCATTTATCTTTTAATTTCTGAGAATTGTTTTAAAACCAATGATATATTTTATTCAACTAAATTAATTTAGGTTAAATCCGAGTTTTGGATTGTGAGTCGTAAAAATGTGTTCCAACAATATAATTTATGATTAACTCTACATCACGCATAGCAAAAAATTGGCGGTGCAAACCATTTTGTTATTGTAAATATTTACCGACAACTCGGTAAAAACATTTGCTGTGTTTGCACCGAGTGCGTGAGTAATATTTGCTTCAGATTCAAGTTTTTTATGTTTTCATGGGTGTTTTTTTACATAGAATTAAATATAAAAAGAAAGATATATTAGACACAAAATATCGTTGGAAGGATATCATTTTGAAAAACTTGTCAAAAAGGGCGAAAAAATATACTGGATTATGATGTCAGAACTAGCTATTCTGCTTACCGTAGTGCCTGTTTTTCAACTTATTTTTTTAGGGGCGATCCAACAACTACTTAGTTAATTGTGGTTAGTTACGCCAAAGAACACAATTTTTTGAATAATGACACATTCCAATCATAAGTTTAGGTTGTTTAGGTCCATTATATATTATGAAGTATTCTTTTTATGGCGATTTAACTGGAAAGATTGTAACACACAAACTTCGATGCCAATATATAAAATTATCGTTAATTTTAAAAACTTGTACGATCAGAACAATTACATCAATAGACTTATAAAAAATATTTTTTATCATGTTTCGTTCAATTTTAAATAAAATTGTAAATATGGATTTTTCCCCTCGTGTCAATTCCTAGGTTAACTCTAATATTTAGTTAGGCATTGAAACGAAAATAAAATATGGAGTTGGTTTGAATTGGTGATCGTATTCAGTTCAATTTAACTAAGTTACATTAAATTAAATCTAAGTTTTAGATTGTAAGTCGTAAAATTATACTCCAACGATATATTTTATGATGAATGTTTTATCAAGCATATGTAAAAATTGGCTGTGCAAGCCATTTTGTTACTATCAATATTTACCGACAACGCGGTAAAAACACTTGCTGTATTTACACCGATTACATTGTGTTATGTTTACTTCAAATTCAAATTTTTAATAATTACTTAAGTATTTATAACAAAAAAATGAACAAAGCCAAATCTTAAAACGGATTAGTCATATAAATATATGCCTAATCACACAAAAAAAAAATTATATTGTCTGAAAAATGTACTCTACCTTTATTTCATATTTAAGAAATATCATATAGCAACCTGTATTAATTTAGATATGCATGCTAATATATTTTTTTTTTTAGTAATATAGCATTTGATTGAACTGTGAAGTTGTAGATTTTGATTGTAAGTCGTTAAATTATATTTAACAAAATATTTATATGATGAATTTTCCATTATGCATAAGTAAAAATCTGGTAAATTTCGTCATGCGACCATTTTTTACTATTAATATTTACCGACAACGCGGTAATAACCCTTGCTGTATTTACACTGAGTATATTGTGTTATGTTTACTTCAGATTCAAATTATTAATAATTACTTAAGTGTTTTTAACAAAATATGAACAACACAAAATTTTAATAAGGATTAGTCATATAATGTATGCCTACTCGCACAAAAAAAAATATATTATCTGAAAAGTTGACTCTATCTTTTTATATCAAAATATTATGGTATTAAGTGTAGGTTTCTTTGGTAAACAAAAATTATTCAATATGAACAAATTTTCTCGAAAACAAAAAATGTCAGTGTATAGGTAAATTATCGTTAGAAGGATATCTTTCTGAACAACTTGTCAAAAAGGGCGTTAAAATAATCTGGAAAATGTTGTCAGAACTAGCTTTTCTGCTTAATTAACCTCCTCCAGATGTCTATAAAATATATAACCTTACATTTTTTGATTAACTACTATTGGCCATAAGACAATTTAATGTATTTATTTAAAATTAATAGTGATTAACTTTAATGATCAGTGGACTTTTTGGTTCATCCTTACATAGAATAAGACCCCTCATTTTTATTATATAAATTTATCACAAATTTATATATTCCTTCACTGGAGGTATTAAATATTTTTAAATTGAGTTTGACTCTTTTTACAGCATCGGACCCTTGAACAAATGTTTTTATCATGTTCAAAAATGACACGAGTATAGTTGTGACGAATCGTATTTTCAAAAAACTAACTTCTCGTTTTTAAGTAATTAGGAATCGTTTTTATCGTTTAACTCTAAAACCAAATGTAAAATAAAACTAATTAAATTAAATTAGGAATTAAATCTATGTTTTAGATTGTAAGTCGTATAGTTATATTCTTACGATATATTTTATGCTGTATTTTTCATCATGCATCGGTAAAAATTGGCTGTGCAAACAAATTTGTAATTGTAGATATTTACCAACGACGCGGTAAAACACTTGTTGAATTTACACCGAGTGCATGAGTAATGTTTGCTTCAGATTAAAATTTTTTATGATTTCATGTGTGTTTTTTTACATAGAATTGACTATAAAACGAAATATATATTAGACACAAAATATCGTTGGAAGGATATCATTTTGAAAAACTTCTCAAAATGGGCGAAAAAAATTACTGGATTGTAAAAATTGGCTGTGCAAGCCATTTTGTTATTATGGATATTTACCGACAACGCGGTAAAAACACATGCTGTATTTACACCGATTACATTGTGTTATGTTTACTTCAAATTCAAATTTTTAATAATTGCTTAAGTGTTTTTAACAAAAAAATGAACAAAGCCAAATCTTAAAACGGATTAGTCGTATAAATATATGCCTAACATTCCACAATAGTTCTTAGTATGGTATGCATTTATTTCTGTATTTAAAATAAACAATTTTTTTTGTGATCACCAATGCTACCATCATACAAAGTTGAGAGTAGCTATTATTATGATTGTATTACTTACAACTAACGTTGAAACAAAAGAGTGAAGTTCTACTTACTGTCAAACAAAAAATAAACAAAAAAATTATGCGTATTTTATTAAATTTTATACTTTATTATGTTATAAACTAATGTACATTCAATATTACGATTTTTATGGATATTTTTGAAATAATTAAAATGAATAGCAAAAACAAAATTATTACAGTAAAGAATTAAATTTTATTGAAGGACAATGAGACAATTGTTTTTTTTTTTATTGTTATTATAATTTTACAGCAAACCTATTCGCCTGAATTGGTTTTAATTATTATATTTTAATCACTCTTTTCTATATCACTCACTATCACCATCACTTTTTAGTGCCATATTTATGCCGCAGTTTGTTCCAAAGCAATAAGTATTTCCACAGCTTCTTCATGCACTACAAATTTTTGGAACTCATCTGTATATGGAAGTTGTCTAAAATTTTTAATTGTATTGAAGTTTATGTTAGCTAGTTTATTTTTGAAAGTGTTGACAAAACGGTTTACGTCATGTTGAAAACCTGTATACGTTTGTTGTTGTTTGTTTGCTTCTTTATTCGTAGATGAACGCACCATGGTAACTTCATATGGCGAACGTAATCCGAGAAGATACATTCTTAGTGCGACCATAGTTTCAATCTTCTCTTCAGGATTTTTAGTGTCATTTTCAACCATGCTTTTTTTGTAATCAATGTTATCTAGTGGACTCAAATAGTTCTCTAACTCGGCAATATCAAGTGCAATCCCACTCTTACTCCAGTTATACGGGTATTCTTTATACGTTAAGGTCTTGTGCATCAGACAAATTATGATTACTTTTACCATCTCAGAAACCTTAAAATGAAACATTTGCAATGACTTAATCTGTTGACTCAATTTATTACCGTTGGCTTGCGTTCCCAAATCATAATCTTTTTTTAAATGCAGCAACACCTGGTCCCAATTTAGCTCTACTCCGGAAATTTCTAAAATTTGTTTTGTCGCTTCCATGTCTGCCAGCAGTCCGTTCAAGCTCAACACGTTCAAACTAAACTGTTCGTGCCCGTCGGTGCTGATACCGTGTTCGTTGGCGTTTATATCTATTCGCTGCATGAAAACTGATGTTCTAGTTTCTAGAATGGTCAGTAGATTTTCCAAATTATCAGTACTACACCTCAAGACTTCTAAATCCAACTTTATGCCCAGCTTATAATCGGCGCAGACGGCAGAGTGTATGTTTTCATGGAGAAAATTAGTTACGGATTGGTGAACGGAAAAGATGCTTTCTTGATCTTCAGCCGGGACCTTCTTTATGACAGATTCCATATACGCCAATACTCTCTGGGCGTAAACTGAAAATATCCACATTACGTTCTGTAAACCAGTATTCTGCATTCCAACGACATTATGGAAGGTCGCATTGATTTTAGCAGCTTGTTTGGTATACGATAGATCTTTACCTTCAGGAACTGTCTCCAACTTATCTTTATATTCTATCAATTCGCCGATCACCTCCATGTAAGTTTGAGCACTATGTATGTAGCTACATTGAACACGAATGTATGGATCCAAATTGTCTTCTTTTTCCTTATACTCTTCAACAATGCTTATGGTGGTAGACGCCATTTTTAAACTGTAGCTAACCATAACGGTTGCTATAAAAATGAACTTAAACGACATTTTTATGAATATAGGATTTTTATATTTTACTCAGAAACCACTTTGTGAAAGAACAGAAGTCTTAAACCAGTGTAACAATAAAGTATACTAAACGAGAAACGTTTTACACGATTGCCTACAGTTCAGCCTTAACAAAATATATGCCTATGACGCTTATAAAAATTGTTAGCAAACATGAATTCCGTGTGCTTATTTGATTTGCCGCATACATATATGATTACATAAACAATCAATTGTTAGTTTGAGTTTTAAAGATGGCTGTTGGTTTTATTATTGTGGAAAATGTTTTGCAATAAGCTTTGTAATGCCACATACTAAAAAATCTAAATGTATTTAACCAACACCTATAGTACTGAGTTATACTGTGTATATAGTATACAGACTGATCAACTTACCGTGTATCCCTCAATACCTCACTGGGTTTAATAAGAAGTTACATGTTTTCTTAACATAGTGTTTTTATGCATTTTGATCTCAATTTCTCACAATTTTTTTTTCTACCCCTCTCCCAAACTTGCTATTTACATCTTATATACAACTTTTATTTTTAATGACCTAAGAAACATTAAATTAAATTAGGCATCGTAACAAGAATACATTTCTATTTTAAAATATTTTTTTGAATCAGTTAGTTTAAAATAATTTTGGGGGTTTTGTTTAGAGAATTAAAAAAACTGATTTTTTGAACATACAAAATGTGTGACATCTGAGTATGGGCCTTAAGTACATGCGTTAAAATCTTTCTAGTTTAATCGCCATAAAATATTTACATAATATACAATAGACCAAAGCATACCTTTGTTGGCATGAAAAAAGAACCTCAAATATAAAGGCGAATTTGTGCCTAAAATAAAATGACAACATGTGAATAAAATCTAACAAATGTTTACCAAATGCGCTCGTTAAATTTACTCTAGCAACTCTAATAGTTGTGCCCGGCTTTATCATGGTGCATATACAAGATAATCCACTTATCAGTTATCTCAAGGATGTAATATATTATAATGCTCTTTTTGACAAGTTTTTCAGAAATATATCCCTCTAACGATGAGTTACACCTTTACACCGACATTTTTTGTTGTCGAAAACATTTGTTCATATTGAATATTTTTTGTTTACCAAAGAATTCTACACTTAGTACCATACTATTATTAAATAAAAGGATAGAGTCAATTTATCAGTAAATATATTTTTTTTTATACGAGTAGGCATACATTTTATGACTATTCCGTATTAAAATTTTGTGTAAAAACACTTAAGCAATTATTAAAAAATTGGAATCCGAAGCAAACATTACACATGTACTCGGTGTAAATACAGCAAGTGTTTGTACAGCGTCGATAAATATCAATTGTAAAAAATGGTCGCTAAACGAATTTTTACCAGATTTTTACCTATGCATAGGTATATGCAAGACTGACAATCCAAAACTTAGATTTAACCTAATTCGATTCAGTTAAATTGAATTGAATACGAACACCCAAGTATTGGGTTTAACAAGTTTTTCAGAAGGATATCTTTCTAACGACGATTAACATTATAAACCGTCATTTTTTGCTGTCGAGAGAATTTGTCCATAATGAATATTTTTTGTTTACTAATGTAGGTTACACATATTACCAAATAAGAAATAAAAAGGTAGAGACAATTTATCTGAAAATGTATATATTTTTATTTTGCGCGAGTAGGCATATATTATATGACTAATCCGTTTTGTGTTCTTCATTTTTTGTTAAAAACACTTAAGAAATTATTAATAAAACTGTATTTGATGCAAAAATATGTTTTACGGTGTAAATATACAACAAGTGTTTTACCGCGTTATCGGTAGATATCTACAATGAAAAAATAGGTCAGACAACAATTTTTTACCAGATTTTTACCTAAGCATGGTGGCAAATTCATCGTACAAATGTTTTTGAAATATAATTTTACTACTTAAAATCCAAAACTTGGATTAAATTAGTTAAATTTAACAGAATAAGAACACCAACTCTATCTTTACTTTAACAATAATGATTTATATAGTTTTTCATTGTTTTGTCAAATCAAGTCAGTTCACGCGTACATCTCACTATCATTTATTAACCACCTCCCTTTTTCTTTTTATTTCTCTTATTTGGTGCTCAACACTCATTTTCATCAACCTTTGCCGTTATTTATAACTTTAATATTTTACTTTAGATATGTTGCTCTTTTCCACCTCTTCCCACCAAACTGAATTATTTTAAATTAAATAACTGGTTTAACTGAATTCACTGGGTCTTATTTTTGGTATAATTTTGTACTATTTTTTATTACAGTTTTTTTTTGGATTAGCGAATTTAAAGAACTGATATTTTTTGAATATACAAAATGTGTGACATCTATGTATGCACATTAAGTACGTGTGTTTAATCGCCACACAATGTATGCATAATATATAATGGACCAAAAGACCCTAAACTTATGTTGGCATGAAAAAAAACCCCAAATATGAAGTTATTTAAAATTTTAGGCTAGGTCCGTCGACATTGCATTACAAAGTAAACAAAAACAAATTTTGTTTTATTATTAAGGTTTTTAATGTTTTAACCGTGTAAAATATACAGCCTTGAATGTAACACAGATCTCGAGTGAGCGAGGTTTGTTCATCTGATATGTGCTACATTAGTAAATCACAATTACAATATCGTTATTGTACAATTATAATATAAAAACATGCACAACAGCAAACGTATTTTAGGTTAGGTTCATTTACAATATAAAATAGTCACTACGTTCAAAGTATAAAATAAACAAGACATCGAGTATCGCGGTCTTGCGTTTATTGTATAATACTTATTTAACTAATAATTGATTGTTGCACTAAAACAAGGTTTTGACAGACTTTAACATTAGCTATACAATGATCATATTGTGTTAGCTACATTAACAGTTAACGGTTTAAATCGAACACACATACTATTATACAGCAATAATAGTTATAAGCGTTATAATATTATGTATATGAAGTTTGATTCAATACACAATTCTGTACAATGTAATGTTGCAATAAGAAACGAATTGGTATAGAAGTGATTTATTTTAAAACAAAAATATAGAAGAAAACCAATTGAAAATTAGATGTACAAGAAAAATAAATGTATATGATAATTTTTTTAAAATTAATTATGATATAGCTTTTACAAAAATTGTTTTTAAATATTTAACAAGTATGTATGAAAAAAGTTTTGTTGACAGATATTTTGTGGTCGGAAATTTGCTATTGTAATTCGATCCCTTTTTGAATAACACAACTACTTATACAGGGTGATTCCATGAACCAGGTAATATCTCACTGGGTTTAATTAATAATTGATTTTTTTTTTTCATATTGTTTTTATACAATGTGATCTCAATTTTTCACAATTTTTTTTGTTTTTAACCCCCTCCCAACTTAGATTTTCTGATAGCAACTTTTGAAACTTAAATAGTAACGTCTATATTTTATAACCTTTTTAAATAAAGAATAATATATTACAAATTTTGACTGGTCGATAACCAGTTTCGGATAACTATTTTTGAAGTTATAAGAGTTTAAAAGTTAGGATGAGTAGGGCTGTTGGGAAATACTTACTTATATCCTTCAGATGCAGTACAAAGACAATTATTACTACCATATAATATACCAGAAAGTACGCACCAAGCAGTTTTTACAGCAGAAAATATTTTCACGTACCAGAAACCAGGAAATAGATTGGAATTTACATCCTCGATAGTAATAATAGCAACAATTATAATACAACCATATTAATACCATTCATACATATAAGGTAATAAGTTGTTTTTTTATCTTTCAAAGTATACATACAAATGTAAGTACTTAAAAAAAATGATGTATGTAACTCAAATGTATGTAACTTATAAATATAAGTAAAAGATTTCTTTATAAATAGAATTACTTTTAAAATTGTAGTAGCTATACTTATTGCACTAGATATGAAAGGTATTAGTAAGAATTTCTATGTTTTAAATTTATTTTACTATTAGATAATAGTTTCTATTCTACGTATTTACCATAGTATATAAAAAAAAAGAAAGAAATCAAAACTATACTAAAAATAAGACCCAACAATACAGTGTGGTGGAAAGGGCAACAGATCTAAAGTAAAAAATAAAAGTTATATACAACGGCAATGAATGACGAAAATAAA